TGTGGGTTTGCTGGCTACTGCCGGCAGGCTGTGGGCTTGCTGGCTGCGGCTGGCAGGCTGTGGCTTGCTGGCTGCGGCTGGCAGGCTGTGGCTTGCTGGCTGCGACTGGCAGGCTGTGGGCTTGCTGGCTGTAAGCCTGTGGCTTGCTGTAGGCCTGTGGGCTGGCTACTGGCCTGGCTGGCCTGGCTGGCCTGTGGGCTGACTGGCTGGCCTATGGGCTGGCTAACTGGTGGCTTGTGGGCTGGCTGGCTACTGGCCAGCCTGTGGGCTGGCTGGCTTGCCGGCCTGTGGGTTGGCTGGCTGGCTGGCCTGTGGGCTGGCTGGCTTGCTAGCTACTGGGGCACTTGTAGATTATTTAAAGAAATAATCCATGCACAATAACCACTACTGCTCTGTGTAGTGGTTATGGTGCCAGGAGGGCCGGACCCCCCTCCCAGAGTAAGTAGTCAAACCGTTTAAGAACAGTTTGACAACTTACCTGGGGTCTGCTGGGATATGGGGCTGTAGTAGGGTATATGAGCAGTGGTGCAATGTGTGAGGGGCGCAGTGTGTGTGAAAGGTTCAGTGTGTGTGAGGGGGTGTAGTGTGTGAATGTGTAGGGTGTGTGAGTGGGGCAGTGTGTTTATGGGGCTAGAGTTCACTCTCACCATTGCAACCACCAGGAATCCCTGGTGGTCACAGTGTTGAGAGTGAACTCTAGCCCATAGCTCCAGAGCTAGAGTTGACTCTTGCAAGAGCTGTAACGTTACCGTGGTAACTGCGGCAACGCTCTGTGCTCGCACAAGAAGGACCCAGAGGAGCTGCAGGCTGAGCTCCCAGGTCCTCTCTTCCTCCCTCCCCTACCGGCTGCCCGCACGGTGCCTGCGGACAGGGGAGGAGGGCAATTGCCCCGTTGCCCCCCTGTGTGCCTTTTTGTCTCCCCACCAGTCCCACTGTATGTTTCTTTCTCCCCCTCACTGCTCCTGTGTCCATGTCTCCCCTCTCCATCCCAGTCTCTCTTACCCCTCTGCCTCTTTCTCCCCCTCCCCTTGTGTGTCTCTCTCCTTTCTCCCTGTATCTCTCTCTTCCACTGTTTCTTTCTCCCCCCTTTCCCTGTGTCTCTCTCTCCCCCACATCTCTCTTCCTCTTTGTCTCTTTCTCCCCCTCCCCATCTCTCTATTCTCCCTCTTTCTCCCCCTGTGTCTCATTCTTCCCTCTCTGTCTCTTTCTCCTCAGCTCTCTATTCCCCCTCTTTTCCCCCTCTCTGTTTTATTTTTCCCCCTCCCATTTACCGACAGAAGTCAGAGGGGGCCGGCCGCGTTCTACGCTGGAGCCGCCGGGCCGGGTGGCAGCCTCACCGGCGGCACTCCTGTCCTGTCACTAACGCTGAGGACAGAAGGAGGGAGGAGCATGCCTATCTCTCATGCTCCTTTGCGGTTCCCACAATTCCCAGCACAGGATGTGGGAACCGCAAAGGAGTATGAGAGAGAGACATGCTCCTCCCTCCTTCAGTCCTCAGCATTAGTAACAGGACAGGAGTGCCGCCGGACCGGCGAGGCTGCCACCCGGCCCGGCGGCTCAATCGTGGAACGTGGCCGGCCCCCTCAGAGTGTGCAACGGACCGCCCACCCGGTGGCACCTACTTGCTTAGCCCTGGTGGGCCAATCTGGCCCTGCTGCCGGGCCCCCTGATGGCGGGCCCCCCTCCCGGCCGGGCCCTCGAACCATGTCCGAAGTGCCCGACCGGTCAGTCCGCCCCTGCCTGCTGGTAGAAGCCATATAGGCATAACAGAATTTGCGGATGGCATCTTACACTATACCTGATTCTAACAAATACCTTCTAATTCTTACATACATGATTACTCTTTTTGGCCCCATTGTAGGTATGTCAATTGGTCTAAATCCATAGCCTTAGGCACACATCCTCAACAGTCACCATGTGCTTTAGGCAAAGTTCAGTGGTCCTAATTCACAGACAGGTTGACAAGTCAACTCACCACTAATCAATTGAAGGATTGACAAAATCGTTCTCTTACAATATCAGGCAGAACATGTCTTTTATAATACATGCAGAGCAAATTGTTTAGACACTCACCTCCATAGAATCCTAACTCTATTGCAACAACGGAAAAAATCCCTTCATTTCAAATATCTGTTTTTGCTTATTTGCATATTCTAAACTATATTAACATCATTTTATTTAATCTAAAGAGAAATATTGAACTTGCTTATTGGATTCTATTGTTTGGAACTCTTTACAAGCTCACTATGTTGTTATTCTATGGTTGTATTTGGACAATATTGGATCATTCTATACTGACCATCTGCATTCACAAGTTGAATGCTTTCCTCTGATGACATTCTCACAGAAACAAACACACTACTTAACCCCTTCAGGACGGGTGACGGACGAGGTCCGTCACAGAGGGGAGACCCTTAACGATGGGTGACGGACCTCGTCCGTCACGCGGTAAAATTAACCCTGGATCGCCGCTATCGCGGCGATCGCGGGGTTAATGGTGCTCCCGGTATGCCTCTGCATTAGAGGCATACCGGGAGCACCCGGTCAGGCTGCCCAGCACATGTGCTTGCTCTGACCGCAAGTCAGAGCGAGCACATGTGCTCTGTATACTCACCTACCGGCTCCCTGCACTTCCGGGTTCTGTGTGAAGTGCAGGGAGCCGGATCAGTGATGATCCTGCCCCCTGCTGGAAAAAAAAATAAAGTTAATTTAAAGTCCCCCCCCCCTTACCCATTTTAATAAAAAATTAACCCCTTCCCTGCCAATTGATCACTGACTACAGTGATCAATTGGCAGGGATTACATTTTACTATGATCTGATTTTTTTTTTTAACCCCTGAGGGTTAATTAATTAAATTATTTTTTACTTATATATTTAGCTAGCTGGGGTAGGTGGAAGTTAGTGGGGAATTGGGGGATTTGGCGTTAGGCTAACTAGGGGTTAACGTTAAAAAAAAGTTTTAAAAGAAACTTTAAAAAGTTAAAAATTAAGCTTAAAAAAATGTTTTAATAACATTTAAGTAAAAAAAACAAAAAAAACACACTTTACCTAGTCCAAATAAAAATTAACCCCTTCCCTGCCAGTTGATCACTGCCTACAGCGATCAAATAGAGATCACAGTATTATACTGTGATCTAATTTTTTTTAACCCCTGAGGATTAACTTTTATTTATTTTTTTAACCCTCAGGGGTTCAATTTATTTAATTAATTAATTTAAATATTTTATAACTATATATTTTGCTAGCTGGGGTGGGTGGGAGTTATGGGAAAATGGGGAATTTACTGTTACTGCTGCGTACTGCTAGTTAGGGGTTAACGGTAAAAAAAAAAAGCTTAGAAAAATGTTAAATCTGTAAAAAAGTTTTAAGAAAGTTTAGGAAAGTTTAAAAAAAAATTATAAGCAAAACAAAAGTTTAAAAACTAGTTTTTAAAAGTAAAAAAGTTATAAAAAGTAAAAAAATACATTTTAAAAACGCTCATTACCACTACACCTGGAACAAACTAGAGAAAAAATTATCCCACGCCAAGGTTCAAAATATGCCTTTTGAATTACCCCAGGGTGTATTCTTTAATAAATAGTATGTGTTTGTGGGGAAGTTTCAATAACCAACCATCTAAACTACTCCAAATTGGAACATGGACACAGCGTAAAACTTCAAAGTTAGAAAAAAACTGAATGGCTGCGTCTCAAATGCGCCCCTTCAACATCCACATATACCTGACAAAGGTACATACGGGGGTATTGCTGTACTCAGCCGACATAGCTGAGCAACATATGAAGTATTATACAGTCGTAGCACACATAAGGTTTGCAAAATATACTGTGCAAACTCACTTTGTATGTCAAAAGGCAGAAAAAACGCTTATTACCACTACATCTGGTACAAGCTAGCGGAAAAATGATCCCACGCTAAGGTTCAAAATATACCTTTTGAAACACCCTGGGGTGTCTACTTTAAGAAATGGTAGGCCTTTGTGGGGTAGTTTGAATTTAAAACCTGCGAAGATGCTTGGAAATTGCACATAGGCCCAGCGTCAAAATTCAAAGTTTGGTAAAAACGGATATGGCTTGGTCTCCTATATGGCACTGTAGCTTCACAAAATAGTGCCAAAGACATTCATTGGGGGTGTATTTTTACTCAAAAGACTTAGCTGGGCATATTTTGGGAGGTTTGAACTTAGTGGCACATATGAAATATACAAAACGCCCAGCAAAAATGCAATCCGTATGTAAAAAATGCACAAAATAATTTTTTTACCACATACCTTGGCATATATTGGTGAAAAAATCGGGGTATGTTAAGGCACAATATGCACCTTATGAGATACCCTGGAGTGTCTACTTTTACAAATGGTAGGCCTTTGTGGGTTTTTTTTGAACAGTCAAACTGTTATAATACCCCAAATGGAAGCTAAGGCTCATTAAATCCATCTCTCAAAATTCTACTGTGAATACTGTAAAGGACAGGTCTCCTATATGGCACTGTAGCTTCACAAAATAGTGCCAAAGACATTCATATGGGGTGTCATTTTACTCAGAAGACTTAGCTGAGCATAATTTGGGGGTTTGAACTTAGTGGCACATATGAAATATACAAAACGCCCAGCAAAAATGCAATCCGTATGTAAAAAATGCACAAAATTATTTTTTACCACATACTTTGGCATATATTGGTGAAAAAATGAGGGCATGTTAAGGCACAATATGCACCTTATAAGATACCCTGGAGTGTCTACTTTTACAAATGGTAGGCCTTTGTGGGGTTTTTTGAACAGTCAAACTGTTATAATACCCCAAATGGAAGCTAAGGCTCATTAAATCCATCTCTCAAAATTCTACTGTGAATACTGTAAAGGACAGGTCTCCTATATGGCACTGTAGCTTCACGAAATAGTGCCAAAGACATTCATATGGGGTGTCATTTTACTCAGAAGACTTAGCTGAGCATAATTTGGGGGGTTTGAACTTAGTGGCACATATGAAATATACAAAACGCCCAGCAAAAATGCAATCCGTATGTAAAAAATGCACAAAATTATTTTTTACCACATACTTTGGCATATATTGGTGAAAAAATGGGGGCATGTTAAGGCACAATATGCACCTTATAAGATACCCTGGAGTGTCTACTTTTACAAATGGTAGGCCTTTGTGGGGGTTTTTTGAACAGTCAAACTGTTATAATACCCCAAATGGAAGCTAAGGCTCATTAAATCCATCTCTCAAAATTCTACTGTGAATACTGAAAAGGACAGGTATCCTGTGTGGCACTGTAACTTCACAAAATAGTGGCAAAGACATACAATGGGGTTGTCGTTTTACTCAGCAGATGTAACTGAACACAAAATAAAACTTTGTACAGGAATAGCACACACCAACTTTACAAAATATACACGAGAATTTCTCTGTTATAAGTTTGTGTGCCAAAAACCAAAAAGAACACAATTTTACTCCAATATTTAGCAAAGGTTGGCGGTGAAATGGCTACGTAGAAAGTGTCAAAACAACCTTAGGTAAATAGCCCGTGATGTCTACTTTATATAAATATATACTTTTGTGTGGCAATTTTGTTTTCTTTTATGGCTATTAAGCTTACAAGACAAACATACCAAATTCTAAAATCGCTCCACATTAAAAGTTTATTTTACTCCTTGTGCTTTGTGACCTGTAACTACCAAAAAAAACTTAAAATCCCAGACACATTATATATTCTGTAAATCAGAACAAATAAATAAATTTATTTTTAATTACTTTCCTTAACCTGCACTAATTATGCACACATTATTATTGCAAAAACTGTAAAAAAAAACAATATTTTTCATTTTTTTTGCATTTTTCTGTATTTTTTTTATAATAAGTAAGCATATATATATATATATATGTTATATCAAATTAAAGCCCTTTCTGTCCTTTAAAAAACAGTATATAATATGTGTCGGTGCAATAAATGAGAGAGATGCAAATTGCAGTTGAACGCAAACAGCAAGAAAATGCAAAAATTGCTCGTGTCATTAAGCGTAAGTCAAGCTTCTGAAGCTGTGTCCTTAAGGGGTTAAACTCTTTCCAGCTCTCCTCTACCTAGAAATGCATTTGTGGACAGCATAGTATGCCTACCTATTTACAACACCTACTGAGCCCTCGATCCTCGAGGTAATATTTTTGGCTAAGCTTTTAAAATGATCCTATATTTTTGGATAAACCTTTCAAATTATGTAGTTACAAAAATTCCTTAATGATGATGTTTGTAAATAAATATTTTCAAATATTTATCCAAAAATATAAAATCATTTGAAAAGCTTGTCTAAAAATATTGAATTTGATCTGAATATGGGCTAATTTTGTCACAATCATCGAAATGCCTGAAATATTGGCAGGAGGAATTCTGGGAAAAATATAAACTTATAATTTGTAGCGTGTTCAGTATTTTAACTCCGGCACGCACAATAATCTACTATATTTATTTAAAACAGAAATGTAAATAAAGCAGTTTTTTTAAAACGGTCAAACTCAGAATGTTTGTAAAAAAAAAAAAATACGAATATTAAATGATAATGCACCACAATGTTTTAAAAAAAGAAAATAAAGCAATGATTAATTAATCCAATAATCCTCTGTGAGCCATAGTTGCTACTAAGAAACTGTTTCTGACTGATTCCAACCTTGTCACTACATTTTAACAGCTGCTACTAACCTTCAAATCTTAACACCAGTCTCTGGCCTGGTGCAAAGAAGTGAGATGCTGCCACAACTATGCCATTTGAGCCATGGTCCCTGAGTATTAGATCTCACTCTAATTTTGACCCAACCGCATCAATTAATTCATACTTGGTTCCAGCCTTACAGAAAATCCTTTAATGTCGTTGATGAATAAATTGCCATGCATGTCAAACCCTTCAGCAAACACACCCATGCCTTCCACTTAGGTTTTGAATGCAAAACTGTGTGCATAATTCACATGAGACCTGTTGTATACTTTGGTAAACCTATAACGTAAGGGCAGCTCATGATGATGACAGTTGGAGCACACAGTCTGAATAGCTGAACATGATAATGCTACACAAATGAAGAAAATTCAAATTTACTGCACCAGGGTGTCTTTTTAAAACTTCCTTCCCCTTACATCTTCTGCAATTATACAGGCTGCAAGAAGAGGCCATGAAGGACATTATGGATGACAAAAGGCATGACATCAGAACTGAGAACAATATCCACATAGCAATTCCACTCATGTTTAAGCTCATCTGTTTCTCCCCCTTCCAGGCTCAGGCATTTTTCCAAGGCACAGTGGACTCAACTAACGGAGAATCTTAGTCTGTCTTCTACAGCATCATGGACCAGGATAAGTGGACCATGTTGTGGATATTATCAAAGTTCCTCTCGAGACTGCTGTGGAAAACGTGAAGAGTGGGTTCTGTGCACTTCCCCCATTCCCAAACCCATTTCCAGATTGTTCAACAAACAGCCAGAGATTAGGCAATCAGGCATCAAAAAGGAAAGTGGTATTAATGTTAGAAATGTGTGTGACAGACACTTTATATTCATCCACACATTTGTAAAATGTCCTGTTTCCTGCTATGATTCCATCATCATCCTGTGGAACAGTAGCCTGTCACGGAATCACTCCTTGCCAAACCACCGTTATGACTACTTAGTAAGTTAATGTCTAACTTTTTTAAACTTAAAGTGGCACTGTCATGCTGAACCTACCTTTCCCTAATTACTTCCCCTTCTCTTCCTCTCTCAGGATCTGTTCTTCTTTCCTTCTGTTCTGAACTAGTTTTCTTTAAAACATTACAGGAAGGAGGGATTATTTTAATAGATGGCCCCCAATGGGGCAGTTTTTTAGATTCGCGGAGTTTTTTGTTTTTTTTATAACAGTGAGCAACCATAGGCTGCTCACTGTTTAGTAGACATGCCCCTACTCATTAGGCAGATTTGACCCCCTTAGAGTGAGGGATGGCATTTCTGATAAATGAACGAATAGTCAAAATTCACATTTGAATTTGGGACAATAGCGAATGCCCAAGTCTTAAACTGGGCATGCACGGGAATTTTACAACACTATCTAGTGTGGGTAGATGACATGTTCCACAGGGCCTTCATCTTCCCACACTAAGATGACGGTGCCTAGGATCAAGATCCGGGCATTAAATAAATAGTAAAAAAAAGGTCTGAAATTGGGTACCTATGGGTATTTGGGGTGGCAAGTGGACATATATTTAAAAAAAATGACTGCAAAAAATATGTCTGCCAACAAGTGCCCCTAATAATTGTCAATTCATTTGGAATTTGTGAACATTTTTCTTCCTTGTGCTATTGCACAAGTATAAAATACTAAATTTTAAAATATGCTTTACTTGCTAAAAGAAAGTTATACATTAAAAAGTCTGTAAGCCTTAAATATATATATATATATATATATATATATATATATATATATAGTCAACAGAGACGTTAAAGAAGAATATATGTCTGTACCATATAAATAATGCAGCAAGTCTGGAAACTTACAAATTTCTTCTTGTTAAGAAACACAAAAAAGCCCCAACACACTGTTACCTGGTAGGCAGTGGCAGAACTTATGTTCAGAAGCGCCTTGTGCAAGAATTTGTTTTTGTGCCCCCCCTTGCGCAAGAATGGCCAAAAAGTTTATCCACGTTTGCTGTACAATTCTCACAATGCTTTTCCAACTGGGGATCTATTATATGCCCATCCATGCAGAACTGTACTTAAGAGTGGTTTTGTGTATGAATGTAAGTTGGTTTTGTGTGTTTGAATGTATATATATGCATATGTGTGTAATGTCATCATTTAAATGAAGTTGTATGTTTGTATGTACTATTGCTATCTGAAAGCAGTGGTGTATTTGTGTTTTGTGTTTTTATGTAGAGTTGACGTTTGTTTGCTGGGATAAAAACACACTGAAACACACACAGAGAGACACACTGACAGACATACACACACACACACACACACACAAACACACTGACTCTTACACATACAGATGCAAACTGATACACGCACACACACAGATGTATACACAAACACTAACACACAGATGCATACATGTAAACACACTGACATACATACACCCACATAGATAACAAATAAGGTTGGTAAGGTGGGAGGAAGTGACTTGAGCAGCGAACCCTGTTGCACTCTTGAAGGGCAGTGGTGCTTAAGATTTAGGGCTTAATTTAGTGCTAGTTTACAAATCTCTACATAACCTACTTACCTATCCTCACTAGTACACCAGTATTGCCCATGCAGGCCCCTACGGTCTGCCGAAGATCTGCATATATCCACTGTTCATACTCTCACCTCTGACGCTCACCTTAAAGACTACTCTAGATTTGCACCGGTCCTATGGAACTCCCTTTACTGCTCCATTAGATTTTCACCAGGTCGCCATTCCTTCAAAAAATCATTGAAAACACACTTCCTCAGGAAAGCATGTCAATTAAACTGTTAATATCTTTCCCTCTCCGAACATTCCTACCTTGTTTCGTCTCCTGCAACTAACCCACCCTGCTTCCTCTCCTGCAACGGTGTCATCCAAAAACCTAACCCTTCATTATAAACTATACTAAAAACCTATTTTTTCCAATACATGAAATACTGCCACTTAGTATCTTCCAACCCTTACCTCTTGTGCCACTTTACCACACTCTGTCTAGACTGTAAATGTAAGCCACCTTCTCTTCCTGTGCATCCAACTAGTCTTGTAAATACTTGTCTGTTAGCCCACCAATTTTACAGCACTGCAGAATCTGTTGGCGCTTTATAAAAATGAATAGTAATAATAATAATAATAAGAAAATTGGTGCTTTCAAAATATATCAGGATCAAATCATGTGTTCTAAATCCAACATATGTAAATGCCAGTCAGTATTATAGGAGTATTGGGGTGTAGTATATGCATTTGTACCTTATATACTATATAACTGATGTGTCCTGTACACTACCCTTCATTGTGGTAAAAGAACTAAGAGGGCTAACACGTGGATCCAGAATCCATTCCCAATTTCAATAAAGCTGTGGGACATTCCCAGGACATACTTAATAACAAAATAAATCACATTTTTTTCTTTCAGGTAAAAAACTTTCTAAAAACATGCATTCTTGACAGTGTATTTTCTGCTACCAGAATACTTATTCCACCGGTGACAAATCATTTGATGAATTTGATAGGCCCTCCATGATTGCCCTTTCCATGATTAATAATTGTCTTCTTTTTTTTTCTCAGTTTCTAAAATGCGGTTCTCACTATATTTGATCTTGATATCATTCTTGGTGCATTTACTATGAAAATAGGTATTAACAAAGTAAACAATGTATCTTCAAATAATGGTTTGGAGCCAACTGGGGTGCTCCTGACTAATCACCATATAACTCATCATAATGGTGGGTAACACCATTAAAGAACTTGTGCTCAGCTGCATTGAACCTCTGATTTAACTTTGTTTGGGATCTATTATGGATTTAATTTCTGGATCCACAAAGGCCAGTAATTCATATGGAAGGCTGGGTAAAAGGTCAGGAGCAGTAAAGATCAAACCTCAATTAGTGTCTTGGCTGGCTGAGAGGAAGTGGCATCAGTATCAGGCAGGATGAATATTTAAGCATAGAGACTGAGTTTTGAATAGCATGGGTAACTAAGAGGCTATGTCATAAATGATCTAAGTGATTAGAAAGGATACAGAATTTTTATTTTTGCGGTATGGAACAAAATAGCATAAGAGTGAAATTTTATAGCATGACAGGAGGCTTCATATTTGCTTAAGTCTCTCTTTACTAGAACTCCACAGCAGCACATTAACATAGAGATAAAAACACCAGAGACAAAAAAATCATGAATCTATAAAAGGCTTCTCCCAACTAACTATTTCCTCTTTCTTTGCTGCTCCGCAGTCAGTACAGGTCAGAGTACCACTGCCTCCTGTTATATATGGGTGGTTGTGGATATTTTACAGTATTTATATGTTTATTACTGTATTGATTTATTTGTTTAGAGGGTATTTTTGCATCTACCTACTTAGTGCTGTAGTGATTGATTGATTTATTTACTCTGTTTTTCAGCATTTACCTTCTTATGGCTGCAGGGATATATTTGTTTAGAATGTGTTTACCTGCCATTATGATTTATTTATTTAGATTGTATTTCTCTGTCCCTACTTTTTTGCTGTAGGGATGTATTTTCTCTTATGACTTTTCTGCATTTTCCTGCTTTGGGCCCCCCTGTCTGGGGATCGTTTTTTTTCTCGGGTTTGGGGGGGTTTCCTCTTTCCTTCCCTCCCTCTACCTTTTCTGGGTGGCTTTGCCCCCTTCACTTTTCGTCTGTTTGTGGCCGCTGGAAAGCGGTCCTCCGACCGCTTTCCGTTGCCGACCGCCGGGACCCCGGAGTAAGAATTCGGCGGTCCCACGTGTTGGATCCCGCCCGCCGGCTCCGTCCGCTGAGCAAGATCCTCTGCTTCCACCCCCCACCCGACCTGCGCATCTGCTCGCGATATAACTGCTCCCGTGGTGTGGGTGTTGGGGGTTACCTTCCTATTCAGTGGGGCGACCCCGAGCATCAACTTCACCCCGCAACCGCATGGTCGGGTTGGGGCGGGGCCGTCCAGTTTCCAGACTTTCCGCATTAGTTCCGTCGATGGCAGGCACATGTGCTGTAGCTTTGACTGGGACTGAGCTATGACTTGGGCGCATTGCACCCTCAGGCTGTCCTGGCTTTGTGCCCCATGTGGCTGGCAGGTTAGGCTACTGGGGACCATAGTGGATGGTATAGATCACAGGCTTGCTATATAGAGCTGTGCACAACCCCTCAAGGGTTACAGGCACAGCTGACAGTGTTACCACTTATACTAACCCCCCCCCCTTTTTGTTTGTTCAGATGATTGCTTGCCGCGCTTTGTTTTATCATATTGACCAATGGAGCACCTCTTGTGCGGTTCACTATTTACGGAGTGTCAGGCACTATTTAACTGAAGTGCGTTATCTACAGTTACACAATGGAATGCTAGGTACAGTCACACAAAAGAATGCTATGTACAGTTACACAGTAGAAGGTTATGTACAGTTACACAAAAGTAGGCTATGTGCAGTTGCACAGAAGAGTGTTATGTACAGTTACACAGAAGAATGCTATGTACAGTTACACAAAAGAATGCTATGTACAGTTACACAGGAGAAGGCTACGTACAGTTACACAGAAATATACTATGTGCAATTACAAAGAAGAATGCTATGTACAGCTAAACAGAAGAATGCTATGTACAGTTACACAGAAGTGTGTTATTTACAGTTACACAGAAGAGTGTTATGTACGTACAGTTACACGGAAGAGTGTTATGTACAGTTACACAGAAGAGCGTTAGGTACGGTTACACAGAAGAACGTATTGTATGTTTACACAGAAGGATGTTATGTACAGTTACACAGAAGAGTGTTAATTACAGTTACACAGAAGTGTGTTAATTACAGTTACACAGAAGTGTGTTATGTGCTATTAATCTGAAGAAGTGTTATGTACATCTTATCTGAAGAGTGAAAGGTAAATTTTATTGGAAGAATGGAATGCGCAGTTCCTCACCTGTACATCTCTAAAGGTCCTGACTTGTCTGTGCTCCAGGACTTGGCCGGCTTTGTCTGTGCCTTACTGATTGGCCTGCTTTGCCTGTGCCCCGTTGATTGGCCTGCTTTGTCTGTGCCCCGTTGATTGGCCTGCTTTGTCTGTGCCCCATTGATCTGGCCTGTGCTGTCTGTGCCAGAATGTCTGCATGCCAAGCCTACTGCCACATACTCACGCTTGTGCATTGCATGCGCTGCCCAACTTGCCTCGGTCACTATATGGGCTGCTGCCCCTATCTCCCTGCCGGTGACACTTGTCCTCTATACTCCTTGAGGTCGCTTTGTCTGGGACCGTTGCACAGGAGAACCCTTATCTGTGTTAACAGCGCAGACAATGACTACTATGGCAGTGACCACCTCCGTGGAATTAGGCTTCAGCCAGGGTCCTCCCTTAAGCTTATCAGGAGCGTAACACTAGAGGGCCTACCTTTAAAATGGCAGGCGACTTGAATGAGTCAGACTCTCCTAGAGGAGAGCAGGCAAGGGCACATAAGCGCTACTGGAAGGGTGAAGGCCCTGAACCAGGCTCCCGGAAAGATAAGACTCCGGGGAGCGGCTAGCTCCTCTGCAAGCGGCCAGACGGCCCTGCCTATATGGCGCGGGGGAGGCTATGACCACCGGACGCGGCAGTGACCACCTTCTTAAAAAGGAAGACGACTTGAAGGAGTCAGACTCTCCGAGTGGAGAGCAGGCAAGGGCGCATAAGTACTACGAGTAGGGTGAAGGCCCGGAACCAGACGCCAGGAAAGATTAGACTCCTGAGAAGTGTCTAACCCTGATACGATCGGCCTTAATGGCCAGACGACACTGCCTATATGGCGCAGGGGTAAAGGTCCCCGTAACTCCCCCCCACCATGGCCGCCCTAGTTGAATGGCGGGCGGACCGGTTCCCCTCGGAAGGAGAGGATGATGGGGTGTGGATTATGATGATGGCCCCTAGTGGCACCATGAGATGTAGAACAAAGTCCACTACAGGGGCCCCGGCGACCGTGGAAGAAGAGGTCGTTTCGTGGATTGCCTTAAACGAACCCCTGTTCGACCCTTGATCCATTGCTCACCTGGTTTCTTTGGAATGGTCTCTGCCCGATCACCTAGCACCATTGGTGCATTTCTGGGCCCGTAGACCACTGGCTTGAGAAGCCCGCAGGATAATCCCAGCGGTATTCCCAGCCGGGCTCCCGAACTAAGTAGCCGCAAACCCAGACTTAGACCCCAATGGGGCACTGCGGTTTTGCTGGTTAAGCACCTGTCTAGTATTCAGGAGATCCTGAGTGCGGCCCACTGCAGTGCCTATACTATTAAGTCCGCACTGGCAAGCCGATTGTTTTCCGCTACACGGTGAGTTGTGCTAGCGGAACATACGAGGAAGTATAATATGTGTCCTTTTTTCATGGAAATACTTGATGGAGGCTTATCTCAGCTCAAGTCTGGGGTGGCAGACGACCATATCCTAAACGCAATTTGGTCCACTGGAGGTGTTTGGGATAAAGGGATCTGAGCCCCTCGGAGTCCCAGCACGAGTCTATGATTGAACGTATATTCATTGGTTACTTTGAATTAGATGCGGCCCTCAAGAAACTTTTAGGGTTCGCGGGGCCCAGTTCTGGTAAGGTGGCCTCTATTTTCTCCCTGGTGAGATAGGTATCTTGTGCATCAGTCATTTGGGCAACAATACAACCTGGTTGGCAGGTTGGGAGGAATTGAGGGCATTCAGGAATTCCAGAACTATTTGAAGCGATCGTTCTCGTTTTCCACGCGTTGGGATCCGGATGCGACTCTTCATCAATATAGGACATCTTGCTGTACAGTCTACCTGGACGGGCTTGCCAGACCCCCTGTGAGGTACCTCCCAGACCGAAAGGTCAGACGCTCCCTGCGTTTTCCCTTGTTCGAGTCCCTGGATTTCGTTTCAACCAGGGAAATATCGACCTCCTCTACATCTCAAGGAGTAGAGTCCTGGAGGGCGGATTGGATGCAAGGGGGTGCCTCCTACGCTCTCCTCTGCCTGAGCTTTCGTACGTATGGAATAGTTTATCTGGGAGGACCCGGCGTCAAGACTTTAGTTCACGGAGGAGGACCCATCAGGCCCCGACCAGTTCGGCTGGATGACGGACCCGTTTGCTCAGCGATGGATGCTTCCCTCCAGGAGTGTTCGACATGGAGACGCGGACGAGTCTCCTCCGTTTGTTTGGTCTCAGGACCTTTCTACAGGTGCCTCGGTCTGCTGGTACTTTGGAATTATGATCTCCGCTTCGGCAGAGTCGAACCTAGTTCCTGGATTCCCTGGACCCTTGCTCATTTGATCTCAGGGATTGTGAGACTTTGGTCTGCATGGTGACCCTGATGTAGTTGGGTCTGGTACGGATCTTCTTATTTTTCTACCGCTTTTACAGGTTTTCGGGTATTGTTCGGTCACTTTATTACCGAGGACTGCCATATTAATTAGATTAGGTAGCGCGTACGACTGTCGGCGGGCCTCGCTCTGCTTAGAATTCCTGAGAACGGGTATTCATCTCCCCAGGGGGTACATGCGTTTTTGTCATGTTCCTATGGTGGGTTCTGTTGGGTTTTGCCCATTCATTGATTCTGGAGTTATTTCCGTTATTATATCTTGTTTTTCTTTCAGATGAGTTCGGCTGTTCGGACCTTAGTTGTCTATCAGCCTTAGTCGGATCTGAGGGTCATATTCTTACTTTGGTAGCACCTTTAGGCGGTGTTTGACGTCACCGTTTGTTTAAATGGTTTTTCCCTTTTTCTCGCCCTTCATGTACCGCTTGGTTGTGGTTGGCATTAGCGGGGCGTTTAGGATTTTTCAGTTCACTTCAGTCTGTAACATGGCGACGTCAGGTACCGACATGGTGGGCGTTTATTTCTCCTAGACATCGTACGCTTTTCTGCCTGTTACGAGGAGCTATCTTCGCAGAGTTTAGGTTGGTACGGCGGATCGTGTTTCTTTGGTTTTTGCTGTCCGAGCGTTAAAACAGCAAATATGAAGCCTCCCATCATGCTTTAAAATTGTAGATTATACTAGCTTTAGTGTAACTATAATCTTAATTTTATTAATGACAGGAGGCAAATATTTCCCTCCCAGTCTCTCCCTCCCCTTGTTGTTTGTTGGATTGACTGACTTGTTGTTCACCTGGTCTCCTGGGCTAGGTTGGTTATCTGGGGAAGTTGGGTTTTATCTGGGATATGGTACCGTCAGTATTTTATGATGGGGATTCAGGATTTTTCACTATCTGGAATATTTTACTGTCAGTCTTTACAATGGGGATTCATGTTTTCTCAGTACATTTCATTCGCTAATCAGTGTTTCGACTACTCTACAGGATAAAGGTCAAGGCTTCACTGACTGGTTCCATGGTTTCAATTTCGGATGGAATTCATTGTTATGTTATGTTTGTTTCTCCTGTTATTGTATTTGTGGTATATTGTTCATGTACTTTTTTTGTCGCAGCGTGAAAGAGGAAATAGTTGGGAAAAGCCTTTTATAGATTCCTTTTTTTCTTTTTGTCTCTGGTGTTTTTATCTCTATGTTAATGTGCTGCTGTGGAGTTCTAGTAAAGAGAGACTTAAGCAAATATTTGCCTCCTGTCATTAATAAAATTAAGATTATAGTTGCACTAAAGCTAGTATAATCTACAATTTGCATGGATCTTGACTGTTGGGATCACTCATAACCTTAAATCAGTGCAACAGATTTACCATGGAACTTTGCTGGGCCATCATGGACCAGCGGGCATGTTAGTAACCATCCCAGAAAAATCTAGATAATAAAAAGGGTCCTGATAATATTAATGTTGCAGAAATAGGGGGGAACATATATAGAAGTTAAAGAAAAGCCAACATACACAGTATTCATTCACACTGACAATGCATACAAATATTGCACAAACAGAAACATATACATTCATACTAACATAACACACAGCCCAATGTTTACATGAACATACAAAATCATGCTAACATTGCACACACAGAAACTCTGAAATTAACTCACATATCATACATATGTGTTAGGGGTATATGATTCATGGGGAGGAGAATATAGCTGGTATAGAAGTAAGATGTTTTTAAAAAAACATTGCCGGAAGAGATTGTGTCCAGGAACTGTCACTAAAGGTGCATTATTGTACATGTGATG